ACATTTTACCGTTGATTTTCTTTCGATCTTCTTTCGCTCGTTGTCTACGACAGTCACTTGAACCATATATTCTCGTGGTTGTTGTAATAATGAGAAGAAAGGATTCTACTCGCTTCTGTGAAATGAACTCATTCTCAGCCGCTACAACCTCATCTTGAATGGATAGACGAGGGAAAGCATTTTCTTATCCCTCGACCTCGCTTTCTAGTACCTGAGGTTCATTTACTGTTGTGAATTTTGCGACGTGGTCTCGTCTAATGTTGTTTAGCTCGTGACTCAGTAGAAATTAAGGTGAGTTATTACCATACTAGTGAAAGATTATTTAGAAAATAGTACTTCTACTTGTGTTTTTAATTTTATTCCATACGAAGCGGTGATGTTTGATTGTGAAGGAAGTTTACCGTGGAAGGGATATCCGTCGAACAGCAATTAGTTTTTGAGGTGATCTGAATCAGCTTCGAAACATGCTTTGAAACGTAGCTAACAATCTTTCGACGAAGAACATTTTTTACTCAACTATTAGTGCCTCCTCAGCGACAGAAGCAGCTGATGACACACCTGCTACAAATTGCTACAGAACAGCTGGCAAGATTTACTCGTGATCAGGCACCGATGAAGTCAGTTTGTTGCGTCACATGGCTTTATGCATCACTTTGGACTGTTGTAAAAACGTTCAACGACAACGTTGATCACAAATTCGGCATCGTGCAACTGCGGCAAAGTTTTAAGTGGCGCTGAATCAGCCATTGGAGCAACCCTCGATAGACAGTCCGCAATTAAGGAGAAATTTTGCTGATTTGAAGTACAACAAGTCTACAGAACCCTAGTCATATTTACTTAACAAATGACCGTCATTTGATAACCGATGGATGCTCGATTTTCAGATGTTCATAAAACTTAGTCATAGATTTTGCATTTGACATTTTGCATATAAATTGTTTTGTCACTGTCTGCGACAATTCGATCAAATCGAATGGCAAAATTATAAACTGTTATAATGTTATAAATTGCAAATTTGTAATTGACGCACAAGCAGGTAAAAAATGTATCCTCCTGAATACGGCATCTTGGTGTGATCGAGAAATGTGAAACTAGTACAGGTAATTCCTCGTCATTCAATTTCTAAAAAGAATCTGCTTGTTGAGCCATTTTAAATACTAATGATCGGCGTTACGAAAGGACGAAGTGTAGTAATCCGGTTCAATCACTGGTAATACAGAATTGATATTACCTGCAAAAAAAGTACGAAAGTTGCCTTTAACATCATTCGATGACCAAATGCCAGTAAACTGCAATAAACACTACCTTTAAATATGCAACGGCAAGGGATGTGGTCTCGTTTGCTACAAGGATGTGGAATGCACTGATGAATGGAACGCCAAAACGTTTTCCACTGAAGACCGCCGGTTCCAAAATGAGGTGAAATCAACCGATGAGGTTGAGCTAAACCCGCTTACCACAAGAAATACCTCTTACGCCGAAACGGAATCTCACACGTCATTTCTAACGGTCGTTTCTGGTGGCACAGTGGCGAAGAGGTAGGCTTCGAACAGAAGAAGAACCGCTTTGAAATAGGGGAAAGAGCCATTCTTTACCATAAGCTCGAATTCCCTTCAGAAAAGAATTTAGCCTAGCTGATTCTGTAGAGCCAGCTGAGAAGTCGATAGCAAGTGACCACATGCTAATAACGCGGACAGGATTGGATTATGGTGTTGTGATACCAGAATGGACGTGATGCACATCAGTGCTCTGTGATGCAGGCGCCTGTTATTCTGCATATCACTTATATCCGATTTATAGTTTACCCTCCCATGGGATAGTATGGTTAATACATAACAGAGAAATGACATCATTTTGGTTAGATATGCAGTCTGCTTGTTTATAAATGTTGGACGACGATAATAAATTGACAACGGGAGTTAAAGTGTGGCACTGCACTCCAGAAGTCAACGCGAAAATATCTTTGTTATAACCGCTACATGCCCATAGGGACTTATCCATTCTTCTTTACTGCATCCAGATTGTGACGTTGCAGCATCACGGCTTCCATCCCCAACATACCTACGAAACTTATTCCCTACTTTGATGCCCGGAGGTGGAAATAAATTAGGATCACTAAGGCGTTAGACATGGCTGATATGCCACTGGAGGACGGAGAGGAAGCCATAGAGGCAGTCTAGCACTTTAATTATCTTGGCTCAATCACGTCCAGTGATAGAGCTTTCGAATCAGAATTATATTTGAGGACCGACCTCGCCTGTAGTGCTTCCTCAACCGTGTCCAACGTATGTGCACAGAAACAGGCAATTATTTCCAAGAGGGCATGCCTTGCCTCTTTCAGCTCAGTGATGTTATTTGGCATGGAAGTAATTATTCGAACTCACTCTCAAGAGGGATGATTGATTTGTGAACAGTGGTGTTTGATTATACGAATAATAAGAGTTAAATGACAAGGTCAGGTAAGGAAAAGACGACCTCGATAGAGGAGGCGATTAAGAATAGGTTGTTGGCATTGCTGGACAAATCGGCTGTGCCTGTATTATTTACTCTAGCATACGAACTACTCCCGTGGAGGCTGAATCATGCGCACGTGCATGGTGCATGATGAGGCCAACATCTAACCTTCAGAGAATTAGCGCTGACGCACACAGCCGCATATTACATTGTAGTGCGGCCATGCCACAGCATGCGGGCGGGACATGGACCATGCTGCCTGATGCATATATCATGCGGTGGCAATCGGCCTTCAGAATGCTGATAAATGACAACAAGTCAACACCCGTAAATAAAAACAATATGAGAAAAACATAAGAATGCTATCATTAGAATTTTATGGCTGTATAGCAGTTTAAGGCTTGGTGCTGAAACGATTTGCAAACTGCACACTTCAGTTTACTGTAAACCGAAACGAGTTATAGGAATAAAACTAACGCGTATGATGGTTAAATCCATTCATAACGGTTATCACCTGTAGCTTTGCTTCATCCGCCTTGTCTTGCTGAATAGTGCGATAGCTCTATGCGGAATCGCATAGTCCGTAGACAGTCTTTTTCGGGTAGTTTTGCGGGCACTGTTGCTCGCCTGTGACGTAAGGCGGCACCCCGATGATGTTCCCCCTAAAAGTAAACGTACAGAGCAGTGGCCAGGCCGGGCTGTCGAGCACGGCTTCTGACCTACCCTGGTGCGTAGTTGCAAACCACAAGAACGGCGTTCTTGACGTTCAGTGTTCTGAGGGTGTCACACTGGGAGACGCCGCATCCGACATAACGCGTATAGTCGTTCACCAACTGCATACGAGCCCTCGGTTACTTACTTGCGGCACACAGACGGCTACTGACCTGCGTGAAGTGGCCACATACTTCTTTGACACACGTCGGGTAGACGTAGTTCTCGATTTCGCTGTACCACGTCTTGACGGCGCGTTCCGACAGCCGGCGGACGTCCTCGTCCGAGAGGTTCATCTTCTGACTGTAAAATTCGGCGTACAAGTTCTGACCGATCCAGTCGAAGCCGAAGCTGTTCGACGGAGGCTGGTGTGCGAAGTCGCACTTGTCGGCAATTTCCTGCGCTGTTTGGGAAATGCTTTCGTTATACCTCTACAGCATTACTCGTAAGATTTCGATCAAGCAATTAAAACAAAAATTTATCCGCATATTTTGCATCCTTTTCAACGGCAAAGCAAAACTCAGAATGCATATCGAGTTCTAGCAGCTCTTCGCGGCATAAGGTGTGTTTTCTAGAGAAACATTATACCGCTTTAAAAGAGTTTCAGCGAAGACTCACTTCGTAAAGAACAGTCAACTGATGCACTGAATTAAATTCTTGCCCACCAATTAGAACAAAAAATTAAAACAAATATTGGTGGACAGAAGGAGCTAATAACGTTGATCAAAAACCGGAGAATGATTGGCACGTTTAGTGACTGAAGGACTACCGGCGCACAGGACCTGAATCTGCTGAAACAAAGCACTCTTTATGATCGACAGAACACAAGCAAGATGGGGGGGATGATCTCATTGAATTGCAGACACTTTCTTGCTCTGTATCTCGGACCATTTCTATTTCGGTAGAAGTGTTGTTCGGAACAGAAGACAAGACACCGTTTGAACGGATCTACGAGGGCCATAAAGTGCAGGGTGCACTTAGAGGTCACGTACAAAACGGACTAAGCATTTCGAAACATGAAACTACTTTCTTACACCTGACTGTCAGAGGAAGCATCACTCCTACAGCGCTAGACTCAATGCTGAATTATACCACGTGATTGCTCTAATTCGTTTCCGGCAAACTTAAACTTCATGGCACTAGAGCATCTTCAGTGGAGATGCATGTCGCATGATTTTAATATGGGCTTTGATGTGTTACGCGTAAAGCGACATTCTCTATCGTACGACCATATTTTAATTTTCATACGAAGAAGAATAACCAGCTCGTGCAACCTGCTGGTTATGAGCACGATGTGGCTCTGCCGAACGATCTGATCCGAGATGCATCTGTCACTGAAAGCACTGAAATATCATGGAGGTCTCGGCTGCTTAAATGGCTCCACAGGCAGCTAATACAAACGTAAGGATGAGACATGCCTAAAGATCTGGTCTTAGAGGATTTTTACATTATTTGACAATACAGTCTTGTACTGTGGTGAATTTGTTTGGCGACTAAACTTCATATGTTGATTCTCAACGCAGAACGGTTTACCGTAACATCTCGTAACAATGATCTTAATCTCACTACCCCCTGATTTCACATGCACATATCGAACCTGAAAAATAACACAACCAACGGATTGGGTTTTCGTGTGTGATCATTCTTTCAATAATGAAGTGGTTCGGTACGACAGTGGCTATCGTATAAACGCAGGGATCGATTTGGCCGGCAACTGATGTTCTCGCTGAACCCAGCCCTCGCTGACAGTGTCATTGGATTGATGGCTGTCAAAGACGACTGAGTCTACAACCGGCTAAATCTTTAATCTTTTTACACGTGTATGCGACCAATTTTGGTTTCTCCTGAGAAATTGGAATATGTTTTGTACCAACTGTCAACCTCGCTGTCGCTCATTCCAATGGGCGATTTTAATGCATTCTGGAAAAGAAAAGTGGAAAAGGAACCGCTTCCGGTTTTGTCCAATCAACGGACTGTTTCTGATAAACGCCTTCTTCGAGGAATGGTGGATGCCCCGGTAGCAACTGGTGCAGACAAGATTATGCACAGAAGGCGATGATCAATTCATAAGCGTATCTTCTGACTTACAACGATCTGTGATGCATGTTGCGGTTGAGGTTAACAGACGTAAAGGGTTTAATCGATCACAACCTTGTCGTTGGGACTCTACTCTGTGAGAAATGAGATACCTTGCAACGATCTGGTGGCAGAAGCAATAATAGAATCGAATGGGAAACATTGTATTCCGCGAATGCGAGAGTGAAACTTGGAAACAACATCGCACGATGGTTTGAATTGAACCCGATGATGACCACTGATGTGGACACGTGTAGTAGATGCTTATGACAGGCCTATTCCGGAGGTGATGCCGAATGCCGCGAATTCAAAAGTATCTCCGTATTGTCTGGAGGTCAGAAACGATCTTAGTGGTGAATACTTAAAGTACAACTGACAGCTAAAGACAAGACGGCTGCATTTGGGAAACGGGTAGGAAGGAACGAGCCTTGGACTCGAATGCGCCATGTCGAAACGCGGGAGAAGGCAACAAAGGCAGTGGGGAACACCAAAGCTGACTCGCGGGAAAAGTTCGGTGAGGTGCTGGAGTCAAATTCCCAGACGGCGACCAAGGTATCCTGATAGACTATTCCCCAGCTCTGCGGTGAAAACAAGGGCAGTCTAAGAGTCTTGAAGCGCAGGTCTGGACAATCTCTTACCGATTATAGCGACATTCTTTCAGATATGGAGCGAGTACTGTGAGGAACCCCTTACCCGGAGTAGTCGCAGGAGAACTCCCTTGATGAGCAACAGGGAACGTATTTTACTTTTTGTGTGGATGAAGGTCACACAAGCTGTGAAACACTTTAAAATCTGTAAAGCTCTTGGAATCGGTGATACCCGCCCTGAAATCCTTAAACTATTAGGGGAACGTGACCTGTGCTGCTCTATATTTGCTTGCCAAATTGTAATGGCCGGGAGGGAAGAAAGTGTCGAAGCACATCTGTGCATATTTTTGCCCTGCGCCAGATTGTTGAGGAATGACCGCAGTTCTCTCATCCTATGTATATATGCTTTCTACGCATAGAGAAAGCCTATGACTGTATCCCATGCAACAGTCCATGGACGTGCCTGCGAGCATGTGTGATTGATGGTTCGTTTCTGTAAGCCATTCGATCGATATATAGTGACCGGAGGTGCTGTTTCAGCGTAAATGTCATTGAGTCGAGACGTTTCAGCGTTGACACTGGGCTCTTCCCAGGCTGGGTTCTGTCCCATCCCGTGTTTGTGTTGCATTTGGGTGGAATAATCAGCCGCAGCAATGGGGATCAATGTATCCCTGCAGGCGATGTCAAGGCGACAAGAATTGCTGTTTGCAGAGGAACTGTTTTTTGACATCTTCCGAAATTCATCTACAGTGCTCTGCTACATAGAAAGGTTGGCAGCCGAGTGCGGCTTGGCTGGCATGCGTGTGAACGTATCTAAAATGAATAGCCTAGTGCTTTCTCGTTCTGGTGCTCTCTGCAGATAAACTGAGGAAGCAGTGATGAAAGTGGACAAGTTCCATTGCCTCAGGGTAGTGTTTGTCTGTGACTAAAATCTGAGGAAGAGTTCCGTTGGCGGATTGGAGTCGCCAGTGGCGATCTTTGTGTTCTTGCTCGAACCATTGTGACTAAAGCAGAGTTGAGACTGATGACTAAGCTCGCGGTTTTCAAGTCGATCTACATCCACACTCACGCATACGGATGTGAATCGAGGCCTGTGACTGAAAAACTTCGATTCTGCGAAAAAGCGGCTGAAATGGAGTTTCTGAGACGAGTAGCTTGCGTAACGCATCTCGACGTGAAACGGGGTAAGAAAATGTGAGGGAAACTTCCTCAGATTGAAAAGTCAAAGCTACGATGGCTTGAGCGCCTGTTGCGAATGAAAGGAAGGAAGCCAACACCTACTTTCCTAGCCGACCAGCATAAGACCCAGGGACGGCGAAGATTATCCTGGGACAAATATATGTGACGATTCTGTCCTCTACTTGAGTTGTCTTCTGCGAAAACTCATACTTTGGCACAGGATCAGGAATGTTTGAGGTGCTGTATGATACGTCTGTTTCCGCGACCCGATGGGAGCTGCAGTCATGGAATATGAAAATGATGATAATGAAAATACGGGTCGACACAACAACCATATGATTTGATTTTTCTTTTCATTTTGACCTTCAGTTTGCTCTGCTGGCTAACATTCTGGTGAGGCAGTTTAACAGCACTTTGTGTGCATGGTTTGTGGCAATCGGAAAACAAAAGCATAGTTCGCTTGTGCAATATAAATGCTTTCAA